ACAACAAGGACCACAAAGTTAAGTCCTAAACACAGATTTCACACATACTGAGGGTCACCACAATCATGTTCATGTGTTTCCCCCTCCTCTCTTCTCAGGAAGTAAAAACCCGTCTCCTCCTCCTGTGGATGTGACCTATGCTGATGTCACGATCAAACAGAGAGCCAACAGGAGAGGTAGGCTGTCATCAAAATAAGACAAGCATGTTATGTAGCCACATACTGTACTCTTTAAATCTGTGTTAAAAGGAGTACTACTGAAGGCTGAAAACTACTGCCTCTATGAATGTCTGTAAATTCCAGACAAATATCCTGCTGATCTACGAGCTGTCTACTCTGATGTGAGGACTCAAACTTCAGGTACACATGAACATGTCATGTTTCGGCTGTGCAGGCAGGGGAAGGACCCAAACGGAAAACTCACCACACAGGAATCAAACTCAAAAAGCTCCTTTATTGCAGAATGGCACGAAAAATATAACAAAACTAAACTTGGACATGGATAACTGAAACACAGCCATGAGGGAGACTACGACACTGACAAAGAGAAACACAGGGCTTAAATACACAGAGGGATAACGAGGGAATGAGACACAGAAGGAGAGCACAGCTGGGAGTAATCAGGCTGGACCAGCCAAGGGAAACAAAACTAGAAACACTGACATGAGACATGGACCTTCAAAGTAAAACAGGAAACACACTGACTGAACTCTAGACATGTAAACTTAAGAGCAACTGGGGAGACAGAACATAGGAACCTGGAATGGTACAGAAAGGCACAGTAGACACAACATGGAACACAGGGAAGCCACATTACAAGAACTAAGCCTATGATAACCATAACTGAAGCCTAGGGAAATAACAACTATAAAGATCAAAACAGCACAACCCACCTGAACATAATGAACTTGCAGGGAAAGAGTAAAACTAAATACAGTGAACATAGAAACACAAGACCTCTTCAAAATAAAACAGGAAACATGAGACGCAGACATGACAACCTGAACTTATATGTATATATACATATATGTATATATATATAAAATTACAATTCAAATACAAGCGCCATACTCAAGTCCAGTAGATGGAAACAACATAACATAGGAACCATATAATAATAATAATAATATTTATGTTTCAATGCGACAGCTACAACCTGCTTCAAGAATATGGAAACAAACTTTATGAACAACCTACTAAATTTTTGCCGATCAAAAACATGCAACTATTTAAAAAAATGCAAATCTTAAAAGAATAATAATAATAAAAAATTTAAAAAAAACATGACCTTGAGCACTGAAAATCCGATCTCGAGTCACTCCATCCATCTCTCTGTTTTCAGGTCCTGAGGACGTCACTTATGGTCAGGTGGTCATCAAAAGCAAGAAGAAAGCTGGCAAGAGGAAAGGTAACCATAGTAACCACCATAACGACAAAGCATGGCACTCACCATAAGTCAATTCAATTTTATTTATACATTGATATTGATGTATTTATATTTTGGGATTGAATGGTTTGAAGCAATGGGACGACACCCAGAGCACCCCC